GTGTGTGTGTGTGTGTGTGTGTGTGTGTGTGTGTGTGTGTGACACACCCCCCTGGATGTGACCCCCCGTGTCGCTGCCGTTCATCACTGCCACGGGCGGGGACACCACCGCTGACCTGCGGGAGGTCGGCCAATGTCGGCCCACGAAGCCTCGCGACCTTTTACCGTTGCCCTTTGACCCCCCCCCCTCACCGACCATCTCGTCCCCCTCTCTGTGCCGCCGACTCCTCACAGCCGCCAACCCCCGACATGTGATATGATTACGTGTCATGACTGTGACAGAGCATGGCGAAAAACTGCGTATTGGCTAAAGTCATCTTTTTTTAAGAAGATGTGGTTGTGTGTGCGTGTGTGTCGGGGAAGGAGGGGGGAGGTGATGATGATGTCTCCGCAGGAGATTAAATGGGTCGGACAGCATCTGTGTCATCATCCCCACTACCCAACATCAGCTGCGGCGACCAAATCATGATGTCATCATGTCAGCCAATAGAAAGAGAGAGAGATAGAGACACTTCTCTTCTTCTACACTTTGATTGATTGTGTGAGATAATCATCTTAACCGCACTCCCATTACAAAATAAAAGCACTTAGATCGGGTGAACGAGACGGTTCCTCCTCACTTACCGATATGTAGATGCTTGTTTTGCTCGACTCGGACGGCCGGTCCGCGTGTTTTTTACCGCACGCGCGCGCATGTGTGTGTGTGTGTGTGTGTTTATAAGCAAGCGATGAAGCAGGGGGTCAATCAGTCATACGTGGAGGAAATGGGGCAATCTGGGGCCGGGTGTCAGGGAAAGTGATGGATTTTAATGCCGCGATTGTAGTTAATGGCTCTTTAAATTAAATCGAGATTAAATGTCTCTGGCTGCAGTCAGAGCTTGTATGGGCACTGAGCAAGCCCCCCCCCCAACACCAACTCTTAAATCTCGTCCCTCCTCGTCCTCCCCACTCTTAAGACTTTATTTCCTCAACTTTACAGCAACAAACGCATCCAGTACAGTGTTTTAAAAAAAGAAGAATCTGTCTAATATATTCTGATTTAGTTTGTTTAAAACTATTTTTTTTCATCTGTTATGAATGAGTCAGTGCGACACACGCGCCTAATTCCATTTGCTCCTTTTCAAAGTCACAATGTTGGGACAGCGAGTTATAATTGGGCCCATACATCCTGCCGAGGCCGTATGGATTAATTCAAGTATGCTAATGTAATTCAATTTGATACAGTTAATCTTGCACTAATGCAGATTGAAGGATGTGAGGTGCAATCAAATACCTCTTAGCCCTTTTAATTTGCTTCAGAGTTTCTTCTTCTTTTTTTTTCTTTTTAAAATAAAATTAGTCAATTTGTAATTATGTGACCTGGCCCATAATTAGTTTATTCATCACTGCAGTTAACTCCCCATTAGGAGTATCGGAGCGAGATGGACGGGCTGAGGGAGAGAGACTTATTTATCTTCTTCAGAATGGGAACACTCGCAGCATCAATTTGTCTCCCGTTTAATAACCGGCTTCACGGTGAACCATGTGCTGTTTGAGAGAGGACTCTGGACTTGTGATTGGATAATTAACTCAAGGCTGGCGGGTTGTGATCAAACAGCTGCATGCTGGATGTCTGTTTATTCTGCGTGACTTTCGGCCCATACAGGCTGCAGCTTCTGCGTTGAAGAGCTACCTTCTGATGTGTCAACAAAGTTTATGTCAGCTGGATTTAAACCAATAAACAGATTTCCTTTTTTTTTTACATGTGATCAATGGAGGAAAGTATCTAAGTATATTTACTCAACTACTGAATATAAGTACAGTATTGGCGTACTTATACTTAAGTGTATTTCTATTCCATTTTATGCTACTTTATACTCCCTTCTCAAAACATTTCAGAGAGAAATGTACTTTTTACTGCACTACATGCATTTAAACGCTGTAGTTATTATTTTTCAGATTCTTTTTTTTAAGATGTTACTATTACTTGTTATTAAACTAGTTATTAGTGTATCTAACGTTGGCTGCACATTGACGATCGTTTTTTTACATTAGTATTCAATAATATAATGTATTATTAATTATTTAACACTGTTTGGAAGTGTTTTTGCTGTTTACTTTTATTAATTATACATGATATATAATAATAATAATATAATAATTATGTTTCGCCGATAATACTTATGTACTTTTACTTAAATGAGTATTTTTAGATTGTGTAATTTCTACTTTTGCTACAGTAAAGTATCTTGAATATCTAAGTATTTTATTATCAATGTATGTGATCATTTATGTTCTCAAGTTATAGTATAAAATGTTAATATTCTCAAATTGCTAGTTTTGTTAAACCAACTGTTTTAAACATGAAGAAATTTGATTATAACTTGACGCTTAAAACAAAGCAACAAATCCTCACAACTGAGAATCTGGAATTTGGGTTGTTTGCCATTTTTGACTGAAAATTGACTCGACTATTAAAAGAGTTCCCGATCAGTGATGAGTCCAGTCAACTGACTAACCTACGGTGGTGGAAGAAGGCACCTCCTTTACTTTGGTAAAAGTACTAAAACCAAAATGCATTCAACATTTTACTGAGCAACATATACTTAGTGTTTAAAAGTATTCACGATGGCCTATTTCTGAGTGTCTTTATCATGATAATAAACTGTACATTATTGGCTCAATACTATTGATTTATTAAGAAGTATTTTAATGTTGTGGCTGGGCACTGTCTAGCTTTTTTCTTCCTGTTTTAGAGACCGTTGGCGAGTTCAATCTGTAACAATGTATCATTTAATGTTTAAAGTAACTTGTAACTGTCAGATACTGAGAATCTAATGGAGTACAAAGTACAATAATCCTCTCTGAAATGTATTGAAGTAGAAGTATGAAGCACCATCAAATGGACCTAATTACAATAAGTGCCAAAGTGCCAAAAAAGTGACCTACTTGGTAACTTACTGCTAATTTGTTATTTGTCAATAGAATATTAAAGGTACAGTGTGTAGCATTCTGGGGGACCTGTAAGACGAAACAAAGTATAATATTCACAACTATGTTTTCATTATAATCACCTGAAGCTACGGATCGTTGTGTTTCCTTTAGCTTCTACATACTGAGCAGGTCCTCTTCACGGAGTCCACCATGTTGGACCTCCACATTTCTACGGTAGCCCAGTCATCAGTCATGTTTATCCCGATCTATCCATCTGCAACCAAAAGTTTAATTTCATTAAGACCCTCGTAATTCAATACAAGAGGGAATTTTCTTGGACGGAAAGTCAACTTGATGGTTCATGACAGTGTTAAAAAATGTGAACTCGTGCTCCCAGATGATAGACATCGATGACTGTGAATCATTTGACATGCTAGCGTTTCATTTGCCTCGTGCTGACTGAATCCCCCCTATTGTCTTGCTAAATTGAGTCTCTCCGCTCTGCAGTGCAAGTGGTCCAGAAAGGGATTCATCAGAACTCGATGGGCCCTGGCTGACTGGTGAGTCTCTCCCCGCCCCCCCCCCCCCCCCTGCAGCGAGACATCCCACCTCATCTCTGTTCCTCCCTGAATCATTGCAGCCGCACCGTTGTGATTGGAGACGTAGCCGACCGTGTCGGTCAAGCCCCCGGCGGGCTGCGCGAGGTGCGCTGGCGGTCATGGTCATGGAGAGGCAGAGAGAGACTTACAGTACACAGCTGAACCCTCTCCGGACAGCGCACCGATTAGACGTAATCGTGTTAGTCAAGCAGTTGCATATGACAGATGACCAAAAACATTACATGCAATTGAACCTGTGCGGCATGAAAAAAAAACCCTGCTGGCTTCCAGTGTGAGCAGAGCAAAGGGGGGATTGGGGGTGGGGGCGGTTGTAATCTAATAGAAGGATGACATGAGAACTAAAGAGCTGAAACGGTAGGCATTTAATAGGGGCATGACGTTTGACAAGAGCGACAGAGAGAGAGGCTGGTGAAGAATGTGGGGGGGGGGGGGGGAGAAGGGGGTAGACGGAGAACGCTAAAGACACGCATGTACTCATTTGTTCAGGATGTCGCCCGCAGAGTATAAACCCCTCGAGATAAGACCTATTCCAACAAGCAGGCCCTCAACGAACGCCACGCTAACAAAACACACCCAGGTTGATAGGATCAGCAGGGAGGTGTTCGTCACCGTACATCGAGCTGTCGTCCGTGACCGGACAGACCGGACGGTCTAAAACCATAAAGGAGAAATTGGGATAAATAATTGTGATTTCAATACTGATAACATTTTTGGCCATAATTGTGCAGCCCTAGGCCTGGCTTTGATAGCTTTTACCCTATCCCCCATACAACGACAGCTGCTTTTTTTTAGTTTTTTCTTACCATGATGAGAAATCAGATAATGTGTACCAAGTTGGTAATGATAAAATGACTTCCTCGTTACCGTCTATCATTTAATCTAAAACCTCGATTCACAAACCTCTCTCTCTCTCTGAGGATCTGGAGTTTGATTCCCAACCCCTCAATAGAAATACACACAGTGAGCTATTATCAATGCTTAAGTTGATTACCGTGTTAAAAGTCGTGATGCAGTTGATGAATTCATTAAAGAATCATTTATTTACCAACCAGCAATTGATTCGTAATTGTACATTAGCCTCTGTTTTGTCAGTGGTGCATTTATGGTGTTCTGGTTGAAGAAGGTCTCTCAGACTGTGCTCTTTTCATCCCAGTGCCTTTGATCTGGTCAACATCCACCTTTTCCACGATGCTTCCAACTTGGTGGCCTGGGAGAAAAGCCCCTCCATCTACTGTGGGACCAGGCAGAAGGCGCTGGGCTACGCTCTAGACAGGTACTGTACACGCCGAACGTCTCTTTTCATTCAGATAAGAACAAAGACGGCCCTGTGTCTGTGAAAAAAAAAAAGAGACAGTGTTTGAGAATGAGAAATGCAGAAAATGGTAGTAGATACTATCCACAATCCCCAGTCCTGTCTGGCATGGCAAAAACCTGTATTGATATTGTAATGGAGGCTTAGAGTGAGAGCGAGCAGGAGAGGTAAGCGGAGAAGATTTCAGTGGGATTCTGTCCTAGACCAGTGGGATTACATCCGTCTGTAAAAGTAGGGGGGGGGGGTAACTCACTACACGGTCTGTGAACTCTCTTTTATCTCCTCTTTTTCTGTCCCTCTCTCTAACTCCTCTTTTTTTTTTCTTTTTTAATCCTACATTTATCTTGAGTTTTTGTCCCACACTGCCGGCAGGCAAACAGATGCAAGTATTTGTTAATTGGGACACGCATCGAACCAACAGAAAATACTGGCCATGATATCTAAAGGGATCATCTTTGGTGACCCTTACCGTACCTTTTTGCCTAGCTCCACCTTCAGGTCAAAATGTCCCGAATAATATCGGTCCCCAAAGGATGAATCCTGATTTCATCGCCATGACATTTACTGAGCACATTCATGCTCCCCAGAGGAGGCACCCTTTCTTTCTTTCTTCAAATTTAGCACAAAAGTCCACTTACACTCAAGGTTGAACTGATAAGAATTTGGTGGTCATAGGTCCCAACATGTTTTTGTCCATAACTCAATAATTCATATGCAAATTATGATCATTTCACACAAATAATAGGATTATAATAATAACACAAATATTTCATTATATATACATTATGTTGCGGTTATACAATTACTTTACGGGTTGACGGAGGCATACAACCGCGAAGCAATAATTATATATTCAATAAGATCTGCTGGAAATACACAGAAGATGAACCCTAAAGATTTTGGTCCACTGCTCTTGTTGCACCGCCATCAGGCCAACATTTCCAATTCTATATAAAACGTATCATCATCATCACATTCGTGCTCCCAAGAGGATCATCCCTTATAATACATTCAGCATTTTAATTGTGCTGGCTCTCGGAGTCGCGATAGTAATGGTCAAGATGTCTTCACCCTGCATCGAGTAGAGCCAGCCTCTGTACAAACAGGCCGGGCCCTCCATGCTTAGGCCACGCTAATGTGATTTATGGGACATCCATTTGCGGGCGGAGCAGAATGAGAGAGTGCGTGGTGCGACCCCTGCTCCCCACCTGGCCACGCTAACACAGAATAAAAGCCCAGCAGCAGGTGACCTCCCATTCAAACGGCATCAGAATGCGCGACACGGCTCCCCGACGCCTCCACTTTGAATAACTACATGCATATATATATATGGGTGGCATACATTACCGCCGGGCCCTCTTGACGCCCGTGAATTACGAGGCACTTTTTTAAAGTATTCTCTACGAGGGTCATATTTTACCTGTGCTCCATTCTTGATTTGATGTAAGAATGGTCCGCTTTTAATGGACAAGGAAGCTGGGGCGTTTAAAGAATATGGCAGCTTTTGCTGTTTTATTACGCTGTAACTTACCTGGATTTACTGGCATAATGAAGTTTGAAAAGGACCTCTGTTGTTGCTTACATTTAAGTGATTTTCCTTGTATTTCCTGCGCTTTCATCATGCCTTTTCAGTTGATTTATTTCCCCTTCCCTTGTAAATACACCTAAATAGGCGAGTCTCTGCGGTTGAGCTGGGTGGCTGAGGCGGATTGAATAGAAATTGTGTTGGCTGACTGGCAGTTTCCACGCTCCCGCTTTCTAAATCCCCTTGTGTCGTGAATGGTAACCTTGTTGTTACTTCTGGGCCATATCATTTAAAGGTTCTTTTTTTGACAGGGGTGGGGATGAGGGGTAAGTGGTGCAAGGCATGGTGGTGGTGGAGGGGGGGGTCGTTATATATACCGGCTCACCCTGGTATTCCAGGGGTGGGATAGTGGTGGCATCGCGCCTCAGTCGCTCACTTTGTGGGGGGATTGGGGGGGGGTGGACCGTCGGGCGCAGATCCGGGGCACCAGAGTGAGAAAAAGCTGGCGGCGCAGAGGGAAGGGAGGAGGAGCACAAAGGGTGCTCGGGCTCTGTAAAGGGCAGTGAATAATGGGCCGGTCCTTTCACAGAGGCTGCTAACCTTTTGGCAGCCACCAGCAAACTCCATTCTCCTCCGCCGATCTGGGAGGACAATGTGCCCGGGCCCGGGCTTTGAATGAAGCGCTACCACCAACAGTGTTCCCATTCAGCGGCTGGTTGGGAACCATCTTTTTGGCCATTGTCCTAACTCTGACTCCTACCCCCAGAAAGCCGAGCAGGAAAAGGGGACAGGGGGGAATATCTAAAGCCTATCCCCCCTCCCTTGCCTCCTTCCCTCTTCTCTCCGCTGCTCTCTCCCTCCTCTCTGAGCTCTAATCTCTCATCGCGGGATGGGAGAGGAGAGGAGAGGCGAGGAGGGGGCTGCCGAACACACCACCAGCTGAGTTCCAGCCGCCGCAGGAGCCTGCTCGCACGGCAGTGCCGGGGACACGGCTCTGCTGCTGCTGCTGCAGGAGGCAGGCTATCAAACCTGAGCCTCCACCTTATCTGAGGCCCAGGCCTAATAATGCAGCTTACGGCCCATTGAGAAGACATCTGATAAGCCTTTTCCCCTCTGTGGCCCTTTTAACTGCTAAACGGTGTTTATCTCCAAAGTGCTTCAAGGCCTCAGGGGAACAATGCCGAGAAGGAACAGCGTTTAGCCGGCCAGGCCCCTCGCCATTGAGTCACATCAAAAAAGCACTGCTCTGTGCCCCGCGCTGATGTGTGGGCCCCACTTCCATGAGAGCGAGAGCAAAGCTTGGCTTGAAACGCATCCCCTGCTTGTTTTCCTGTCCTTTGAAAAACGCTCACATGAGCCCAGGGCTGCGTCGGCCATTATTTCTCTTGTTGACTCAGCTACGCCTTGATGTGCAGAATCATTGTTTTATAATTATGACAAGAGTTAATCGTTTTTGTCTGCACACAATGTGGAAGAAAATACGTTTTTGTTTTATGTTTTGAAGAATAATTCAGTTGGATGTCAATACATTTAAGGAATAATGTTTATAAAGGGAAAAGAATCTGCTTTTTGAGGAGCTGAAGTTGTGAAAGTGATGCCTCTCTAGAGGATGGAAGACGATACCATGAGATAAAATCAACAGGTTGTTTTTCTTCTCTTCCTTTAAAAAAACGAAAAAGCCTTTTGTGGTGTTGGAGTTTGTTTCTTTTTTCCACCCTCCTATTCAGAGCGGCTGGTCCGGTTCAGGGGAGAACAGTTTTACATTACAACTGTGAAATCCTGGCATAAAGGCGTCCTTTGTGGCGCGCCATTATTTTCACACAAATATAGTCCATTGTCACAGTGCTGAAGTTAATTTGATCAACATTGGGGACATTTAACTGTTTTGTCCGCTGAAAGGAACTTGTTTCATGCTCATTTTCGGGGCATTGAAAAGCAATGATTGGCAGAAAAATAATGTTGCCGTTAACAATTCAAAGCAATTAGTTTCCCATGGGGAGGCAGTGGGCCGCACTGGCCACCACACAGCGACGCTTTGTCATTTTATGGACGGTCATCAGTCAACTGTCAGAGCGTCTCAAAGAGCCCTCCAATCTAAATGTTTCCCTTTAGGCTTTTCCCAGAACAACAGGCTGAAAGAGCAGAGAAAGGCCGGCTAGTTTCCAGCCTATAGACATGTTGAGCTGCAAGAGGGAGGACTGGATAATCACAGGGAGATCCTCCAGAAAGCCCGAATGAATTTATTAAAGGGAGTGGTTTGTGTGTGTGTGTGTGTGTGTGTGTGTGCGGCCATGTCGTATGTGTCCATTTCAAATGTTTTACTTTAGCATACAGCGGCTGAATTCAAATTGCATTGTTTAACAAGGTTACTGTTTTTTTGTGTGTGTGTGTATGTATGTGTGTGTGTGTGTGTGTGTGTGTGGTGTCACTGTGTGACTCTGAACTGCCTTCTCACCCTGGGAGGCCTGCAGGAGCAGAGGTTAATCTTCCCCAGTGTCTCTCTGCTCAGAGTGGACCTGTTTATTTCTCTCACACACACACACACACACACACCGTGCTCTAGCAGTCACTCTTTTAATAGATCAACATGAGCCATTCAGAGATTTGTCGGGTACCACTTTGCCACATTTTACGACCATGCATAGAAACCAGAATGACCTGAAACCCCTGTGCAAGTAAAATTACCTGAATATCTAATATTGCGTGTACATCACTTATTAGCCTCGATTTGTATATATTAGTGTTTCTGCAATACCAGAATTTCTCTTGTCAAATGAAGTCTACAGTAATACAGCACCACGGTACACAACTAAAGCAATCAGGCAGATTGTCTCCCAAGAGTATGTGGACAGATTTTCGGCTGTCCATTATTGTCTTTACATGCATTTTATCAGCCAGTACAGACACGAACAATTGTTTCTTGTTTGTTTGGTGTTGGCCCCTATCGTGTCCATGTTCCCAAGTACTGTATGACAGTGTCAGTACAGTTTGCACAGAAACACTACCTAACCCTACTAGGTTCTCTACATGTCTGTTCATGCTAGTTCAATGAGACACTATTCCTTTTGATATGTCGGTGTGCTGTGTTGAGGAAAGAGCCCCAGGCTGGCATGATACACACTGGAACAATCCAGATGTTAGTGTATGGCTAGATTTTGGCACAGTGCAGAACCCTGTTGATGTTGCATCTTAGTGGTGCGCATTCCGCAAACAAATTTGCAAGTAATCAAGTTCCCCAAAAGCCGATTGACCCACAGTGAATCTGGGGCTTTTCGGGCCCGAGGGTGTCCGGAGCAGTCGTTGGCTTTGCCCGGTTGGTAATCCAGTTCGGAGCGCAGGTGGTCTGTCATCTCTCGGTGACCGTTACAGAAGGTTTCCCCATAAGTCGGCTCTACTCGGTGTCTTCCCCATCTCGAGTTTGCGTCGCCGTCGACTCGAGCTGACTTATTCGTTAACCTCTGCGTGACCGCGCCGACATCCTTGTACCCCCCTCTCCTCGCCGCCCAATCTTCCCTGCACGGTGTTCTTGGCTGGGTGGGTGTCGCCGAGGAGCCTGGGTGCCCACAGGGGGATGAGGGGAAGGCTGTCCTGCCGTGTCAAAGGTCCCGTCACGGCCCACCCCTGGCCCATTCAGTGAGATGTCACCCAGCACATTCGTCACAACGTTAACAGTCTCCCAAATTCTCAACATTTGCCTACAATGGTCGACCGCACTAGGCCCCATGGCCATTGTGTGCAAAGTGGAATCCGAACGGCCAACTTATGGTAAGTCATCTTGTCAATATGATCATGACACAGCCCCCCCGTTGCACCCTCATAATCTCATTCAGACTGTCTATTATGGCTCAGTTTGGCTGTCAATCACGGCGTGTAATCTGGCTAGGAGTCGCTGAGGGATTGAGGCTGGTGTGAGGGGAGAAAGATTTACAAGCAGTCAATAAGCGTATACCTGAGTGTTATCTGTGAGACCGATCTCTGGTGCAAGAGCATTTTTAGAGTCTTGGGCACAGGTGTGTTATTTTTTTGTTTGTTCGCTTTTGTAACGACATGCATTTGCGTGTTTACGGAAAAGTCCAATCTGGAAACGGAGAATGTGCCGCGGTTGCTTTGTGCTGGTGGTTTAAGGAGCCTGGGAGCAGAGTCGGGGGCCGTGTTATAAATTAGCGTCTGACCCCTGTCTTTTGTGCGGCCGCCGAAGGAAGGCTCGGCGAAGGCCCCAGCCCAAACCTCAGTGGGAACGGCGCTTGTGAAGAGCCTCTTTCAGGGGTGTCACTGCGCGATGAATTGGCCCAGAGAAGCATGTTTATAGACTGTGTAAAGGAGTGCGTCTTTGTGGGAGAATGTCACCGACACTGTTACAGTTTGCCTGAATGAACTGCGATGACGAGGCTAATGGGGGCCCCCGCCGGGGGTGAGGGTCAGCGAAGGAAGGGGAGTGGGGGGTGGGGTTTGGCCCCCCAAGCTCTGGGACCCCCCACCCTCAAGCTCCTTTCACGCCCAGTAGCTGTAGCTAATGTCGCAATTCTTCGTCCGTCCGTTCGCCCCCCTCCGTCCTCCACAAAGGCCAAGAAAAAAAGTCAACTTTCGCACCAGCGGGTCACCACGAGTGCTTTAGGAAATGATCGTGTAAACAGAGTGTTACCTTCTGACCTGTGGCTGATACCTTGGAGCAGCAGACAAAAACAGCCGGGCTGCGGGTATTAGACATGGCTGTTAGCGGGATAAAGCTGCAGGACTCAGAGGAGGAAGACATCCAGCCTCTGAAGAAACAAACTCTTCCTCCGCCTCACTTTTCACCCACTCTCTTCATCTTCCTCAGCAGCGGATGTGGTAAATTCTCTATTAGCACAAGGAGCGCAGGAGTTCCCACGCCTATAACAACCGGTTTGATGCCCGTGCTCAGCCTTTTTACTGCCCACCATTCGAGCCAGTGGGACACGCTGACCGCTAACCCTGTTTGAATAGAGCTGGGTCTCTTAGCACCAGGATGTAAGGTCACTAATGACATCAGTCCCAGTTTGCTGTCAGCGTGTGATTACTAGTACAGTTTAATGGAGCATTTAGCTCAGAATCGTGTCCGTATTGATACGGATTCCC